TAATTGGGTCGGTGATTGGGGCCTGGCAACATCATCCTTGGCTATGTGCAGGTGGAGGCCATGGTGCAGAGTTGTAAAGGTTCACTCAGATGTTTTTCTTTCACGTCTTTTCCTTAGAAGATATACTTACTATCTTTGGCATACCCAGTTTTATGATACACTCACTCTCAGTTCAGAACACCAGCAGACTAGCCACTCCTGGGACATGTTGCTTTGAATGATGTTTTTACATACATTTAAATGTAGAGTTTTCAGTAATAATGTGAACAACAACAAATGCCCAGGAAATATGTATGACAAGTCACTTTTCCATTTCTTGAAAAGAGGCTCTCCAGCTGCATTCAGCTCTATATCTGTTGCTAACATCGTGACTGATGGCTGCAAGACTTAAAACGTAGGAACTACTTCATTTAGACTATAAACCTATGTTTTATCTGAGAGATTGCTATGGCCAGTGTTCTAAAGAACCAGTTCACTCTGAAATGGTGATCTTTGATTCTCTCAGAGGTCATAATGAAATGTCTTCATCTGTGGCAACTTATTGGAAATTCCTATATGCCAAGACTGAGCCACTACATCTCACATGATGTTGTACTGGCATCTTGCAAATTATTGGAAAAGTCTGGTATGGAGAAGCCCTGCGGCTTTGCTTTGGTCAGTTTGTAATGAATAAACCAGTTCTGAAATGCAGTAGATAAGCTCCAAAATTTTTGTGAGCAGCAAGTCAAATTGACATTTCTCTGTTTGAAATTTCAGGGCCCTAGCTTCTGTTTTCTCATCCTTCTTTCCAAGGAGAATGAACTCAGTCACCACCTTGTGTATGTCTTCGAAGCAGAAATGAATGGGCAACAGTGCCTCAAAGTCTGCTAACCATCCTGTTACCTACCATGCCTCCAGCATAATTTTGGACTGAGATGTCATACATAGGGAGAGTGAATGTCATAGTTTAATACTGTGAGCAAAGCAATTAAAAAAGTATTCTACAACTCTGAAGTTTCTCACTTCTAGGAAACTAATATAGCATCACTCAGGACTAAACTGAGGCTATGGACAGCACAGTGGACAAAAGTACCTCTCAGTTGTGCTATAAATCTAGTTTAGACACCTGTATACAGTCCACTCATAGCTGGAGCTCCATTATAGCTTGGCAGCACAATTTTGACATGCCCACTCCATTACTTTCAATGGTACTTAACATTTTATTGATCAAACCAGCTGCTGATTCATGCATTTACCCACACTGCAGACAGTAGACACACACTGAACCACCTGGCTGCTCTGATCTTTCTTACCAATATCTTGGGTTCTATCCATAATCAGAGAGAAAAATGGAACTTACACAATATTTTTTATAAATATATTTTTTATAATTCCATCCCTAATAGAATTAGAAAGAAAACTAGCAAATTCACTCTATATGTCAGACTTGGTTGTTCCATACTTCACATTTAAGAACTTGTCCAAAAGATCAAGCGAATCGTATTTTGCAAGAAGGTTGATAATGGACAGTAAAATTCCACAGGATCCACCTGAAATATACCATGCTATCTATAACCTCTAAAGGGCAGGTTAAAAGGAGCCAAGATCACTGTGACACTGATCATTCTATCAAGCACTTGTCTCTAAAAGGTTTGGGCAGCCTGTTCTAAATTCGGTGGCAGTGTGTTCTTTGAGCAAATCAGCAGCACCAAGCAATAGGGATCTGAGGCTTCATGAATCCAAATTTTGCTTTTTAAGTGAGGCCAGCCACAAGTATCAATCATCTAACTGCTCACTCCATTTCCTGGTGAAAAAGCCAACACGTCGGGTGATGCATTTAATCTCAAATTGAAGAGCAGAACTACTCTCGTTGGAATTGCACCCCAGCTTTGTTTTGTGGTTATATAATCAGATTGTTGAAAGCTTCTAACATCACTTTCCCTTGGATGTGGACCAGGTGGACAGTCCATTTACAAAATCCTCAGCAGTCACAGTTTCACTAAAGCGAGCTCTGCCTGTAGAAAACAACGGAGAAGCCAAGGTAGCATCAGCACTACTGTTGCCCTCTTGGCCTCTTAACTGAAAAGGCACGTACTTTGTTTTGGTCAGTAACGGATGGTGTAAGTCAGGGTTCCTCAACCTTGGCAACTTTAAGACGGGTGGACTTCAACTCCCAGAATTCCTGAGCCAGCAAGTCTTAAAGTTGCCAAGGTTGAGGAACCCTGGTGTAAGTCATTCTCTGTGACTCAAAGGGTCTCTTTGGTCTGTAGAGAAATCTTGAGTGGTCAAAGTTCCATTCAGTGAATGCTGTTTCATTTTGTTCCTGATCACAATTATTACTACTTTCTCTCCTTGGACTTTCCATGTTTTCTGCACTGTGATTTCAGAAAAAAACAAACCAAACTTGGGGAGTTCTGCTGGCTTCTCTTCCTGCTGTTTTTTTTTTTCAGTTTTCACTTCTGGGCACTACTGTAAAAGTTTGGCAGCTTCTTTCCACAGCTACTTGAAGGTGTCATTTTTAACTGGCCTGGATGACAGTCCTTGAACTTCTCAGAGCAGAGGTTTATAATGCAACCCTCCAAACTTTGAAGGAAGTTCATTAATTGCATGCTGTTCTGCACCAGTATCCAGTAAATTATATTGTATGATTTAGATTTTAACGTGTTTTGCAATTCCAGCCAACTGTTGTTTATTTAATAAACTACGGTTAAACAAATTATGGCTTAATATTATGTGGGAATCCAGCATTATTTTAGTAGCAATTTATGTTAGATGCAGCCAAAATAACAAAATGACATGTGTGCACTTGTGGGTATAAAATATCCAGGAAATGTAGGAGCAGTTGGGTCCCTTAGCCCCCCAAAAAGCTTCTGCTCAAAATAAGCTAAACCTCATTCCTGCTCCAAAGATATAATCACTACCATACAATTGTACTAATAAAAAATTAACGAAGAATTATAAAGACAACATGAATAGTTTGATAGACTGGAAAATGAGAAGCTGCCTTTACTTACATCAAATGAGGAGACCTTTATCAATTGGTACTTAAAGTTTTGTTGAGGGAAATAAACATTGTACGTTTACATAGACTATGGCTTTTATGAAATACCAGAACTTTATCACAATTCTTCCCCGCACAGGATTGTGGAAAACCAGTATGAAAGGACATCATTTAGAGAAACCTTAATTTCTCCGGTCTAGCAGATTTTCATGAAAAGTTGGAAATGTTACCTTTTTCTGTTAGCTAATGGAAACAAATCTATACCAATCTTCTTGGATGACACGTGGACCTCTTCAATAAAGCCAGAATGTTATTCTTTATAGAAGACATTTACTGCATTGTTTTTGTGACTTCTTTAACAGCTATTGAAAGAGTTCCACCTATTTTTGATGACTGTAGAACCTGTTCTAACTACAGATCATTAAAAAAAAAAAGCTAAGCAGAAATGTACATGAAAATATTAAAGCATTTTTCGTATTAAAAAATCCAATAGCTATTTAGATAATTATCCTTCAACGTCTGTATGTTCATTGTTGACACATAGTTATAAATTTCAGTATTTAATTCTGCTGTTTGTTTTTTTCAAAAAAGAAAGGGATTGTAAAATGTTGACTAGATGTGCATTTGTTAAGGATGCTAACATACACTATGGACTTACATACACATATAAAAAAAAGAACAAGAAAAATCTGCCATGTTCATATTCTTTTTAAACAGATATAATACAGCTAACAGAAAGAGACTGTAACAGGTTCTGATGAAATATTATTGCAAAATATTTTTACATTATCAGAATGTCTCTCTGAGACAGACATCCAGCTTCTTGCCTGGCACTTTTTCCTGTGCTCTTACTCTAATGATACACATTCAATTACTGCTGAAAAGAAAAGAATCAAATCAGAAGCGTGTAGTTTGCCATATAATTACTGATTCTTCCCCATGGTGACTGACCTTTGTAACACCGATACCAAGACCTGAAAGGCTAAAATGACAGAGGATATTCACGAGGTTTAAAACATATAACATGATTACAAAGAATTAAAACGAGCATAACATAAGTGTGGACTTTATGTTCTTGCGTTTAATGTCTGAATCCGGAATGTAGCAGCCGGATTTATTCACTATTAGGCTAATTCACAAGCCACTGAAATGCAATGTTTTATTGTATAATAAAGTTAAACCCCACATTTGAGCCTATTATTCAGCCATTACTTTTACCTGTAATATGAATCTTTTCTAGGAGGCTTTTTTCATTACTCTCATCTTCACACCAGCTTGTGATTTTTGTATGTGGACACAAACAATAATGAAGCACATTTCAAAGTCACAGCGATCAGACCAGTTTGTTTTCTTTTTAAGTCCCATTCCCTTTAATTTTTCATTTTTGTTATCTCTTGTTTATTGATCTAAACTGTCCATTACAGTTCTTTACAAAGGACCCTACTGTGAACTTTAGTAAAATATGCTGTAACTCTCTCTGTTCATTTGCCAAAGAAAACAGCAACTGTATCTTGAGACTCTCTGTATTTCAAGTCAGCAAAAACTTGCCAGTAAAAACTTAACCAACTTGGCCATTAATTCCAAGAGAGTTATACACATACAGACACACACACACGAACTAGATCTAGATAATTATTTTAAATCACCATCTCTCTTTTATTGATAAAATTCTACTAAAATAATCAAAACATGATTGCTTATATATATCATGTAAAAGAGCCTATATTCTAATGGCTTGTTTCTTGTGGCCTTTGCTGAGCACATCAACATCTTCCACTTCTAACGTTATTTCCTTCAGCATGCAAATTTATCATTTAAAAAACAGATTTGGAAAATCCAACAAATGCTTTTTTTAGTAAAGAAGTTTCCTTCTAAGATGGGGATAACTATTTCTTCTTTACTAACAAATTACATATCAATTCCTAAGCCTTTGTTCTTCAATGTTTCTATGGAGAAATATATGTAACAGTATTTCATAGAATATTATTTTCTGTACTATCAAACCATTGTGCATGTTTACCTTGCTTTTTTTGGTTATTTTTTGCTTGAGAATTACAGGGGGCTTTATCACTACTGGAAAAAGATCTGTCTTCACAGTCTTCTACAAAGCTGTCTTTCAACAGTGGAGAAGTCTAAAGCAAAAGAAATAAAACAATATTTTTAAAATGTCCCAATATTTTGCGGAATTATAATAGTAAATGCAAAAATATACATTTCTAAAATTGGTTTCTCTCAGCTCCTGCCTTAATATATTTTGAAACTAATTAACTATGTTTCATATACATTGCATTGCTCTGATTTTTTTGTGCATGTGAGAATTCTGAAAATTGAGAACTCATTATTACCGATCTACCTTGAAGGACCTTCAGAAAGTATACAAATCCCGAAGACCAATCACTCATCAAAGACCTTATATGACCAAAATGCATCAGTTTTAGGCCTGTGCAAATTGTTTGTCAAGGCACTTTGCTTGTGAGCAAAACGTGCCTCAGAATCCACTCCTCAAAGCTGTGAAGCAGCTTCCGCCCATTCAAAAACAGCAGCTCTGAGATCCTCCTGAAGAATTGCTTTGCCAGCTGTCCAGTAAAAGTGTCACCTGTGCATGCATAGGCATATGCAGAATATTTTGGTAAGGCCCTGAAACAAACATGCCAAGTTTTCAAATAACTGCATCTATTCTGCAGTTTCAAGGAGCATTTGAATAATGTGCACGGAATTATTCCAGATCTGTAAAACGTTTGCTACTAATAGATACCAATGTTATTACAGTAGAGAGTCTGAACAATCATGAAATGCTTGGAATATTCTGGTCTCCAGATAAGTTTCAGATAAAGGGAGTAGCCCTGAAAAAAAGGCAAAAACTAACCATTTCTGATAAAAGAGATGAAAACAAATACAGCCATTTACTTAGAAATAAGTTCAATCTCAACAGGATCTTCTTTAAAACAGATACAGTTCTGTGATAAAGTATTAGCCCTCTTTGTATTTTCTGAATTTTTGCATATTATTGCCACCAAATGATAGCAGAATATTATGAGGATCCTACTGATACATACTGTAAAAAGTGTGACTGAACAAATTATACCAAAGTTTGGTACTTGTTTCATTTATTTCATAACAAAGTCATCTACCATGCAATGTGCCAGTATGAATAAGTAATTGTTCAATCAATTCCATTAAAATGATAACTAGGGGAGTTGGGTGAGTACTTCTTTAAACAATAAGTACTGATTTGAGCCAGCCTTGCCCTATATAAAACTCACAAACTTTGGTTCCTCTCACCCCAGTGAAGTACTCATCACACAGATTCTAGAGGAACATCACATTTGTATCAAATGAATTTCTGAAGATTTCCATTAAATAGTAATTGATGCCTAATTGTCTGGAAACATTTACAATCCCATTTCTAAAGTTCTGGGACTTCATTGATCCAGAAAAGTAGACATTTAGAATGATGATGAATCTTCTCAAGAATGGCTGTCCTGTCAAAATATTCCAGAAGAATAAACAAAGAAGTCCATAAAGAACTCCAGAAGAACATCTAGAAATCAGTAGGGTCCTCTTACCCTGGCTAAAGTCAATGTTTATGATTTCACTATCAGAAAAGCACTGGGTATAAACAGGATTCATGGGAGAATAGCAAGGGAAAAACCATTGTCTTATGTTTTCTAAAAAAGCACCTGAATTACTCTCCAGGCTTCTGTGGAAAAAATGAGTCAAAAGCAGAACTTTTCAGGCTATAGGGGTACCATTACGTTTGGCACAAACCAAGCATGCATTCCACTATATACTCTCAAATTCATATGAATTGTGGAAGATGGAAGGGTCATGGTACAGGGATATTTTCCTCTCTAGAGACTCAGACAACTTGCCACTGGCAAAAGCATGAAATCGGCTTTGCATTAGATGATTCCACAAGAGAATATCTGTTTGCCCGCTAAAACTGGAACACAAGTGGGTCATGCAGCAATACAGTGATCGCTAACATGCAAACAAGGGGACAGATGAAGAAGTTCAGGACTTTGGAATGGCCAAATCAATGTCCAGACTTAAACCCCAGAGAAATACTATGCCAGGACCTGAAATAAGCTTGGTAGAAAATTCTCAGATGTTCCTGCATTGAAGCAGTTTGCCATAGAAGAATAGGCCAACGTTTCTACACAGCGATGTAAGAGGCCGATCAACAACGACAGGAAGTGTTACAATGTTGCATTTATTATAGCCTAAGGTGATACAACCACTTACTGAACCTAAGAGGGTAATTCTGTTTTATTTTTATTTTTTTCTGTTTATTGAGTTGTTATAAATCTTGATACATTGTATTATTTCAATTCAGTAACATTTCTAATGTATAATATAATTAAAGATTATTGACATATTGTTTAGATAACTTAGAGTATTGCAAACAGAGAAGAGAAAAAATATTCTATCGATATTAATTATAATTTAGGATATCAATATTACAAGCATTAATATTATTTGGCTTTTTCATTCAAAGTTGAGTGTAATATTGAAAAAAAACTGCTGCAACTCGCATCAAAGTATTTGTTATACAATAGGTTTTGAGGGTAATTATATTTTCACTGCGGCACCTCATATGTTAGATAACTTCATGAATTAAATGAAATAAAGACCAAACTTTGATGTCATTTTTATACTCTCTCCCTTTATATATCACTAGGACCCACCTGAAGCTCTGATAACATTCAGTGGCAAGGTTATGCAAAAATGTAAACAATCCAAAAGGGGGAAGTATTTTTTCACAAAACTATACGGAATAAGATGTATTCATGTCTTTATGGAAAGTTTTAGAAATCGTTTTATACCTTGCCTTCAAATCAAAACATGTAGACTTGTTACTGACTAGTAATCAGGACATTCATCTTTCAGAAAATAATCAGCTAAATGCCAAAGAAACCTTCTTTTTTGGCAAGCACACAACCTATATTTGTAGAACTACTACAACTACACACACAGATACAATTCCTCCATCCTAAAATCATTCACCAGATGCCATTCCCTGACATTACCCAAACAAGAAAAATTATATCAGCGGGAAGTTAAGTAACATACTGACCGGGCTTTCTTGTTTATGACTTTCCAAAATCAGTAAGGTACCAAACATGTCTTTCACTTCTTGTCTGAGTAAAATGTGGTGCTTTTGCAAGAATAAGATATGTTTGCTTAAACGTTCCCAAATCATAGCAAAATAAGATGTCAGTTCAGGCCTAGACAAAACAGAAAACAAGTTTTGTTTATATTTAAAATACTCTAAATACAGCTTTGTTGTCAGGAGATATTGTTTAAATAGAATAATTCCAGATTGCCAAACTTTTTTGTTCCTGTTTTCATTAGCTCAGGGAGATAGAAACAATTGTTTAAGATCTCAGACTCTTTTTGACTAGGGAGGCTCTCCTACTGGATTTTGTCTTTGTTTCTTTTATTAAAATATATTGTTTTCATTAAAATCACTATTTTAATATATATTATTTTCTGTATGTGAAATGAAGTAACAGGGAAGAAAATCAAAAATGCTTGGGAAAACCAAATAACTTTTTAGGAAGAACAGTCACTTTAATTGTTTGATTATCTGCTCAAGCTCTAGCTGATAATTTACTTGTAAGTACAGGTACCACTGTAACTGGAAACAGGAACTTTGTTGCGAAGCATAGTCATAAAGTGTAATAGTATGTGAGAAAGATCTTGAGAAATGGGATGAAGAGATGCTGCTTAGGGAACAATCAGATAAAAGAGGGCATAGCCCGCAGCTGCATAATGGGAGGAGAAAGACACTCAGAAGGGACCCTCCCTAGCATCTCTGGCTGTAAAGGAGACGGCAAGAGATTTATACTTTCAGACTTGCAAGATTCTGTTAATGTAGCCTTACAGTAAAGTAGAGTTAGCTCATCTGGTTGTGTTTCCTGTCTGGTCTACCTGGGAAGGCTGACGTCAAGTAAAAAATCACATGATGGCAGTTCCGGCAGTTCCAGTTATGGTCAAGAATACAGTAAATAATTTTTCTTAATTTATATATAACTGCAAATTACAAAAGAATCAAGGATAAAACAAACTTTGTATACCAAACCAGAAACATCATCTTGGGTTTTTCATATTATTTAGGACTCAATTTTTAAAAGTTAGCATTACAAGTTTTGAAAAGATGGAAACAATTTCTGGCTCGTGGTCTTCCTCTCCTCTCCCACTCGTAGATTACTCACATTTTAAGTATGTGAATAAATATGATCAGTTCAAGGAATACGAAGACAGAGAACTTCAATAGGACTAGGATAGAATACCATCACTCAAGCCTACTTTTCTCACACTTAATATGGTTTCCTCAGAATAGAATATCCTGCTGCTTTAGTGGATATAGAATTCATGAAATACAAACTGAAGATGAATTTAAATATAATTAAGCATAACTTGGACAAGGTCAAATGGAGAAAAGCTGCTGCTTTTCATAGAAGTCCTTTGCTGAAGTTGTCTCTTCTCGGTTTTTCTGTATCTGAACTCTGATCTCTGACTGTACCTTGAAGCCCAGGAGGAGCAGTGTTTTACAGATATCCTGCATTAGTTAGCATGCCGCTCATATGTTCAGTATTCAAAAATGAGAACTTGATGATAACGTCTCTTTCTTAAATATATTTTGCAAATAAGACTTGTGGAATAATTTCAAGCTTATGAGACCTTAGCAATTAAAAATATTAACAATATTTGAAAAATGCATATCCATATCCATATCATTTAAAATCCAAAAAACATCTTCAGTAGTATACAAATATTATGCAAAACTTTTATATCAAACATAACAGGCTCTCAAAAAGTATTTATGCAATTTATCTGCACCTTCAATCCGAAGAGTCGGGCACGACTTAATGACTGAATAACAAATCAGTCCAGATAGGCTCTAGGCATTACATGTATGAGAAAATGACTTGGGATTTGAACTCAGTGATTTAGTTTGGAATTCTATGATAGAAAATTTTTCTCAAATTTCAATAATCAAAAATTGACTAAAATAATCTGCAGATGATTGTATTATATTTATCAGTCTTTCTAGATTGTTCTGGGAATTATAATCAAGTGATGACAATATCAAATAATTCATTTTGAATGAACATTTCTAAGAAAATTGGAAAAAATACACAAATATGGTAATTTACTTGAGTATGGCTTTATTGTTTATTTTTTCAATAATGAAGCAATCTCAGCAATCAATTCCTTTTTTCATGCTAGCTATTAGATTTAATATAGCAAAACAACAGTAAATGAGAGTATATCTTTTTTAAATTGATATTTAAAAGGGTAAGAAATATCACTGGAAGAAAAATTAACCCTTCAGTACAAAGCCTTAGGGTTAGAAATTTCAAAGTCTTTTGCTGGCAAATTCAAAATACTGTTTAGTACTTGGAGCAAGTGGCAGCACCTAACCAACCTTGGATGACTGGGGTGGGGGGGGGGGACCTAGCAGGGTGAGATGTGATTTGGATGGGAGACCTCCACAAAATCCCAAGACTGTAGGCTAGTTCAGTGTTTCTCAACCTTGTCAACATTAAGATGTGTGGACTTCAACTCCCAGAATTCCCCAGCCAGTTAGATTGTGCAATTGAAAAACACTTCCAAGAAGAAGGCAATGACAAACTGTTTTCACTATATCCATGAAATCACTAGTTGGTAAGCTCAGCTCAAGGGAGACTTTATTTGCTTAATGTAATACTGAAGATTTCTTTCTCTAGCTTTCCCTTTCATACAGAAGGCCAGCACACCTGGTTTCATAGTGCCCTTTATTTACTTGGCAAATATCTTTATTTGACTCATGTCAAGACCCACATGAGCTGTTTCTGGTCTAGAGCATGACAATATAAATATTCTTTAGCTGTAAATCTCAAAAAATGTAATAATAAATGACCAGAGTAATGTATTCTTGTTCCCACTAGGGCAGGAGGCAAGCTGGGATTTGATACACCCTTTCTATCTGTAATTGAAAGTCCATTATTAAATCAAATATTTAAGTTCTTGAAAAAGGCTACAGAATATCATTTTTCCATACTTTCAGTAAAGCCCGCCAAATAAGTTGCTCCTAGGTGATTGTGTTTCCAATGCTTGAATCAGGTATATGGCATGAAACACTACACACACAGACTGGCAATAAATCACAGCCCTCCAAACAACCCCTTGGCTTGACTCAGTAGAAGACTCTCACACTCAAATTGTTAGTTTAGAATCTTTACTGCAGGAAACAATGAAGCTTTAAAGACAACAACCAATTGTTCAATGCAGTTCAAAGAGGTCATAGCCTTTATATATTTCTGTGCTCCAGAGTATAAACTGTAGGCTATTTCCTCCAGCCCTTCCAGGTTAACAGATACTTGGCTCATCTCTTGATAGTATTTGGAAGCAGCTGAGATATGTTTACATTAACTTCTCCCTAGTCTGGAAACTGCTGGTTTCTGCCTCCTCAGACTTATGCTTATAATTATTTATCTCAGTACAAATAATTTATCAATTCAACAGAAGCTTAAGAGTTCATTATACGCCATCAAGTTGGTGTTGACTTTTAGGGACCACACAGATAGATTTTCCACATGATGATCTGTCCCTAACCTGGTCCTTCAGGTTTTCCAACAGTTACCATCCATCGTCACTGTAACTGAGTCCATCCACCAACGCTTAGAGTACACCAATCAGATCTTTCATTCCTTTACCAGTCATGTTTCTATTCATTTGTTTAAAGTAAAATGTACTTTCACTTTCTTAATTGATGGGTATAGAAGATAACAATGCCACTGCTGTCGTGCAGTAGACTGGATGTTTCTTCACAATTTTAGATTTTCCTCCTTTGCAGGCATTTATATAGTCTACAACCTATTTCCCAACTAGACCACCAATAACAAAAATTAATCACCTGTTTTTCAGTTCTAATGAAGGAGAAATACAGCTTTCTAGCAACAGAGCAAAAAGGAATTGAAGCTAACTATGGAGACAACTTGATTGGAAGTTGGAGGGGTTTTTTAATCAATAAGAATTTGAACAGGGATTGCAATTCAGTTATTCCTGGTTGGGGTTGTGTCTCCTACTCACCAAAAGAGCAAGTTTATTGTCTTTGCATATCAGAGGGCAGCTATGGCAAGAAACATATTTGCACAGTAAAACATAATGTACTACCTGAGACCATTTTCAAGCTATTTATGTCTGGCCAAGATTATCCAGATTTTCATTGTATCTTGATTAGACTGCTGCAATGCCCTCTATGTGGAGTTGACAACTAAAGAGTGTCTAGAAGATTTAATTGGTACAAAATGTAGCAGCTAGATTGTTAACTGTTGAAAGTTCTTCGTTGGTTCCAATTATTTCCAAGCACAATTGAAAATGTTGATTTTAATCTTTAAAGCCTTAACTCAAAACAAAGCACCATCTCTTTTGCAAAAAAGGAGTCCTTCATTTAATGTTTCAAAAGTTTCAATGGTATACAAATGGCTTAGTTTTTAAAAATCCTTCCAGCCATGGAGACCTGGGCAGCATATTAGGCAATGTAAAAGCAGATTCACTTCCCATCCTAGATATTAGAAGGAGGGGAATGGAGGAGGAGCCAGTTAAGCACATATTTAGAGATTAAGACCCATTTTGGACATAAGAAAAAAACTGCTGACTACATGATATTGGTGCTGCTTAGAGTGAAATGGTATATAAATGTCAATAAATAAATAAAGGACTGTTTATTACTGTATTTAAATTATTTACTGTAAGAAAGTTAGAGCTCATGGACTGCAATATAATTTGCAGCTGCTTGTGTTCTGTATGTATTGTGCTGTCTTTTTCAGACAGGTTGCTGAACAGAAAAGTATGCACCGTACACATGCATTATAATATTATTATGCTATTGAACAAATGCAAAGGTTATGCTTTGGTTGTTGAGTTTTGCAAGCAGAGCCAAGTACTAAAGTGTGCAATGTGCACAGAGCAAATACGTATATTAGGAAGTGTCTGCCCATCCTGTTTGCTCCAACAGATTTGGCATGCTTCAAGCCCCATCAATTAAAAAGTGTCATATGACAGAACCCTGGAATCAAGCATTCTCTGTTGCCTGCCCTCTGGAACAACATCCCACCAAAGATTTGTACTGCTCCTACCCTGGTCTCATTCAAAAACTGGCTCTTCTCCCCGGCCTTGAACTAGATTGGATATTGGGCCTTTTGTGGGAATGCTGTATGTTTGAGAAGGTGTTGGT